GATAAGATGAAGTTACAATTCATAAACCTCATGTACTCCAAAATAGGTGACAGAGGTTCTTATGCTTGGCATAACAAGTTTAAGGACTATGTGGATAATTACCACAATAGAAGAAGGATGATCAAAGGGATGTAAATGCTGAATTTATCAAAGCCATTGAGTTCTATGTAAGGAGGAAGTTCTTGGTGTGAGGATATGGGTGAACTGGTGAAGAGCTCGTTCCTATTTTAAGGCTAGATTAGAAGAATTCGAAAAAGCTGTAATGAATCTGAAAGGCATACCAGCAAATTAGAAACCAGCAGACAATCAGGCCGCCATTCAAAGAGCAGCGGAGTAGTCGAGCAAGCACATGCGGAGGGTGGAGGGAGAAGCGTGGAGTCCTAGGGGACGGATGGCAGAGGCAGAGGGCAGAGCCGCAGAGGCGCTGGGCGGGATGAATAAATGCACAAGCCTAAGTGCTTCGATCGAATGTCGTGAGGAAAGACGAACAAGGTCTGCGCGCTAGCAATCGCCGATGGGTTTTGATTTAGGATTTAGGTTATTTTTGAAATATAAATATTAAAAGTGAAAAGGTCAAAGTCTATAAATGAAAAATAAATTAGGAGAAGACATAAATGATATGTAATTAGCAAAGGAGGATCTAATCGGATGTTTCCACTAGGAAAAAACAAATTAAAGAATGCATTCAACTTGATCATATTGTTGATGGAGTGAAAAAAAAAGCAAACATAAAAGGACCAAGAGGTTGACTTTAATGTAGTCATATGTTTATAGAACTTTAAACGTATAGTATATGATACTTCGTATAAAAAATGATGTTTGTACACACTCTTATACACACTTTTGTACACACCTATGTCTGTGAAAGTTTTTTTTTGTCTGTGAACATTGATTCACAGACAATGTTTTGCACAAACAAAATATTGTCTGTGAACCGGATTCACAGACAAAAAAAAAGCTTCACAAACATGGTGTGTCTAAGGTGTGTACAAAGGTGTGTACATCAAGAATGGTTGGCTCCGTATATGTTATGTTTTGACGTTTTGTCATTTATTTTTAGGGGTTTTTACTTGAATATTACTAATAAATGGACAATTGACAAAAAAGTGATCTTTTTTATAAATTTCCAAAAATGTGAGTAATATATCATAAGGTACAGTAAAACGCTACAGTGACTGGTACAGTGACAAGTGACAAGAGCACAGTGACATCCTCCCGCTTGGAGAAAAAATGACTTCCTCCTGATTGACGACTGGTACTGGCCGGAAACTGCCACAGGCCGTCGGCTATAGTGACACCAACTGGCCACAGTGATGCCGCCGTAGTGACGCCACCATAGTAACGACGCCGCAGTGACACCGCTGCAGTGACACCGCCGCAGCCAGTGACACCATGAGCCGCAAATTACTCCAACCGCCTCCGCCTTGACAATTTCTTCCCTCATAGCCCTCCTGTAACACTCTAGCCGTCAGATCCAGCCACCACACCTCGCCCCTCATCCACCAAACACCATTTGCGCAACGAAGACGGCACAACCTTCACCTTTCCTCAGATCGTAGCTATTCCAGATCTGAAAATGACAGGGGCGAGACAGAAGGAGTGGAAAAACAAGGCGGCCGGCGACGAACTTCAGGTGGCATCGAATGACGAAGGAGCGAACTGAGGTGAGAGATGAAGGTGTGGTGACAGGATTCAATGACAACAATGCGATTTGGAAGTGCAACCTTGCGTCACGGTGGCGATGGCAGAGTGACGTCACCTGGAGGATGAGTCATGACCTCACATAAACGATGTTGGCGGATATGAGTGGAGCTTGAAGAAAGAGAATGGTAGTGTTGAGAAAGGGTGAGAAAATAGTAGCTGAGAGGAGGTTTTGGCCAAAGAGAAAATAGCAATGAGGAGGGTGAAAGGTCGTAGAGAGAAGGGGCGCAGAGAGGAAGGGCGCGGAGAGAAAGGGCGTAGAGAGGAAGGGCAACCGGCTGGATATGCGACATATTTTTCTATTTAAAATTAAATGGTCACTTTTTTGTCTTTTGATAAAATGATCATATTTTTGTCTAATGAAAGTTGGAGAGTAATATTAGTGCCATTGTTTTGTATTTTTATAATAGAAATTGATTAAAATTGGATCAAAACGTAGACAAAATTCAAAAATAGGACAAAATATGTTTTCTTTATAAATTAGGACTTATGTGATCGTAATAAAAGCTTCACTATATACAAGTGTCATACTCCGTATTGTTTACTTTGTCCTGACTTTATAAATGTCTAGATCAACGATCAGCCATGTCTCCATGTATTTACATACATGAGTGTAGGTACATATATATAACACCACATAAGTTTTTGGTGTGTATATGTCTTGAAGACTCATGATAGGCACGTAAAATTAACAAATTGATCAAATCATAACTAACTGAATAATTATTTTATAATACATGAAATTTCCAAATTGGCTGATTTAATTGTTACATTTGCTATGGTTTTTGTAGATGTGCCGGACAGTGCAATGATAATAAGGAAGCATAGTGAGGCATCAAATTTGTTCTCATGCCTCTTATTCAATGAACTAGAAGCCTTCAATCCAAGAGACCAGCTTGCGTTTGCCTATGTGAGAGACTTGATGAAGCCGAAGCTGAGGATTAACATGTTTGAAATTGAGGTGTTTGAGCAAGTGGCAGTTGAGTACCGGCACAACCTTAAACGTGACAATGGGGCACGACAAGTAGAAGAAGGTCCCTTGATCAAGATGGAAGGTGACACCAAGTGTGATAAGTATCTCAAACAAATGTGGGGTGAATCCAATGATTGATTTTATATTCTCTCACTTATTTTTATCATCAAAACCTCTATTCATACACAATGTTTATATACTTTTTATACACACGTCCAACTTGTATGTATAGACACACAACTCGTTTTAGCAATTGTCTGCAATTGTTTGTGTACGTAGGAGAATGTATAAAAACTGTACACTTTTTGTGTATAACACAAATTACTTTTTTTTCATTCTTCTTGACAAATATAGTTCGTAAAAATGACTAATTAATGGTATTTGTAGAACACCCAAAACCACTTGTGAAGGTCAAACACTTTTGCAATCAACATTGTTTTCTTTGATTCATTTCCTTTAATTTAAAAAAATAGCTAGTGGGGTTATGGGACTAGCCCCGGACCGGAGCCTAATCGGTCCAAGCCCTGAACTTGGACTCGTGAGTCCAATTCTAAGTTTGGAGCCTGTCTACCAGCCCAGTCGAGAGCCTGCCTATCAACCTGACGGAGACGGAGCTCAAGCGTCAGGGTGACCTTGTCACACCCCGGATCTACCCGAACACATCAACAACCGTTGTACAGTACGAATAGTCAATCACGGTCAAGCATATTCATACTATACTAGGCATCATGAGTATCATTACAACATAGTACATCCATAAATAAAATAACGTAAAATATTCATTTAAGTAATTAATACAACAAGTGTTCATGCCACATTCGGTCAACTTAGGCATGCAAGCCCCCAAATAGTTTATAAGAAAATATTATCCATGAGCATTATTGTAATTGTTTTGAAAACAGAAACGAAGGAAGCAAGAACCACGTCTTCACTCCTAGATCCTTCCTGAAACAATGGGTACAGGTAGCAAGCTCAACTTCTACCAGAAACTGTGAGGTGGCCTCCCTGTGAAGGGGATGTCAGTACTTTGAAGCATTTGAAAAGTACTATGACAACGACACAGTATATAATCAATGTTTCAATTCCTAAGACACTCAAATAGGGTAATATCATAATATAGGCCGCAACCCTAGGTTTACCCATTTGAAAATATACTTACATTATAAAAAGTCAAGTAGCCGGCCTATAGGCTCATGTTCATTTTGAAACACCATCCCCTATTGACGTACACTTTGTCACGGTGCGTCAAAATAAATTCAATACTTAACACTAATACGTAGTATAGTGAAGTAGAGTTCGTATCCACAGGGAAAAGAATAATTCTCTTTTTACGAACTAGTAATGAAAGGGGGTTTTGGGTTTGAATGATTTAATTTAATTAAACACTAATATGAACAACCTATATGTGATTTAATTAAAAGATAAAAAGGACTTGACATTGCTACTTTCCACTTGTTGATATATTTTAGTCGATCATTGTTATATCTATAACTTATTCCCTCTTGAATACTCAATCGAGGAGTATATCCAATTCATTGAGGTAATTATTAACAACGACCGTTCATTAATAACCCTTACTACTAGTCAAATATAGAACACCGCCATATACCGACTTGATAGTAGCATTTAATCTCTTAACTCCTGAGATTGATAACCTCAACACAACGGTTTCGGTTTAACCCACAAAATTAATCCCTCTTAAGTTTATTAACCACGGTCATGCATTAATAAACCGAAGTTACTTACTTGTGAAACCATCAACGATAAACCATCGGTTCGTTGATCGTTTCTAGTAATAATTAATATATGAAACAAAACTAGTTGATCCTTTAAGTAATGTTCAAAATATTAATATGAAATATGAATAGGAATCAATTAATATTCAAGGAAGAATATTATTAAAGAAGATGAATCCTCCTATAATTAATGTCAAGATGTTAACTAATTATCATCTTAGAAACACTCCCCAACATTAATATAGAGGAAGAAAATACTACTATAACTAATGTCAAGGTGTTAACTAATTGTCATCTTAGCAACACTCCCCAACATTAATATAGAGATAGTATTAAGGAAAGAACTAATAATTAATATTTAAGGGAAGAAGTTAAGAAAATAACTCACAACTTTAATAATCAACAAGCTTCAAGAGCAACATCAAGAAATGGAAGTTTAGTTCCTCATTTGGAGACTAAACATAGCTAGAAAAATACAAAGAAATGTTATTCTAAACTGAGCTTAAGAGTATGGAAGAAGGGATGATGATTTGTGAAGGAAAAGTGTGCTATTTATAGGTTTTTTTCAACACCTTGGGCCGGGTACCTGACCGGGTCAAGTGCCTACCCGACCGGGTCCAGTCAAAATCAGATATTCTCCACGTTCTGCTGATCTTCGACACGTTCTGGTGTTCCGGGTCAAGTCTGACCCGATCGGGTTCAGTCAAAATAAGATATTCTCCACATTCTGGTGTTCCGGGTCAAGTCTGACCTGACCGAGTGGCTTAGTTGACCCGACCGGGTCCAGCTCTTTCCTCAGAGGCTCGGTTTTCAAATCAGACCCGACCGGGTTCAGGGTCTGTCCCGGCCGGGTTTTGCGCACTTGGTTTTTTTGTCTTCAGCTTTTTCTCCTTTTCCTTGCTAAAAACTCTACCACTATTCTACAACTATAAATGGAAGCTAAAAATAATTACAAACAAAATAAAACAAATGCTTACAAACTAACTAATAATGATATAAAATCCACACAAAATCAATATAAAAACATGCATTTATGCACTATAAACTAGTGCATATCAAATATCCCCACGCTTGAATCTTTACTCGTCTGGAGTAAATGCAATCCAAGAAATCCTAAAATGATAAGTTCATCAACACAACCATCACAAAGTGTTTTTAGAAACAAAATAATCATAAAATATCCCCAACATAAAAAGAATACATCAAGGGATACTCAATTCCAATTTCTTCATGCAATGAACTCTCTTTAGTCATCACCTTTAGGATCCTGCAAAATAAAAAAGAAATACTTTCTCTCATTCTCTCATTTTGCCTAGGTGCCCTTTCGGGTTTTCAACCCAGCTTCCCACATTTTTCTTCAATAAATCTCACAAACTCACTCTTATTTTTGCTTTATTTTTTCTTAAGCTGCCCTTTGTGGGTTTTCAACTTAACAAGCTGTTTTTTTTTGTTTTTTTTGTTTTATTTATTTTTTGAAAAAAGAAACAAGAATCAAGAGTATGAATGTGAGCATACCGGAAAGATCTCCCCCACCGCTAGTCCAAGGCACAGTTCCTAGTGCCCGTCTGCATCTCCGCCATAAAAAAATCCTCCATAGCCATGGTAGCCCCTAAAGTGTGTATCCTCATCCATGTGACCACCGCCGTATCCGTCATTCCCGCCTCCACCACTAGAGCTCGAACCGCCAAAATAACCCTATTCAGTGGGGTTATACCATGAGGGTGCCGGAGGAGGAGTGGTCATAGATGCAAAGTCACCCTGATGTGCTACATAGGAGTAGATAGGGCCAAAAGTCCTCCTTTGGTCCTCCTGATCTCTCCGCCGATCTTGTTCGTATCTCCGTCAGTCCGCTTGCCTTTTCTCCTCTATCCTCTCATAGTTCTGCCTTTGCTCAGTTCTATGCAATACAACTTCCTCTCGAAGTTGAGTGTACTTGAGGTTTAGAGCATTCATGTTATTTAGCATTTGTTGCTCAAATGGTGAATATTGGTGAGCATTGGGTTGTGGTTGAGGTTGTTCAGGAATGAGGGGTGGTGGTTCAACTGCAGGTTGTTCTTGTTGGGGTTGTTCTTGTTGGTAATGGAGTGGTATTCTCCCGGGGAGACAATAGTGGTGCCCATCACCAATTTGGTGATCCAAAAGGTTCAAAGGGAGGTCGACTGAGGGTATTTGTGCATAAATGGAATTAGGTGGATCGATTAACCAATTGTAGATATCTACCCCACCGGGTGTTTTATGAGAAAAAACAATATCTTTGGTATTTTTCAGGAGCCATGGGGTGCGAACTAGCTTTCCTGAGGTAATGGGCATGTGTCTACAAAGCCATAGAGTGTAGCTAAATGTGTAATCAAGCCCCTTAACCTAATAGTTCCTGTGGAAGTTGCCATTGTCTCGAAGTGATCCCATAGGATGGAGGCAACATCCACTTGATCCGAGCATGGTAAAACAGCTTGTCCAAGAATACAAACATCTCATACCCTTGTTTGATGGTTATTCGGTCTTCCAAGAAAACAGTTTGATAAGAATTTTAAGAAAATTCGGAAGACCGGATGTTGTACACGATTCACACTAAGGTGTCTGAGCTCCACATCCACCTGACGTGTCATCCTTTGCCACAATTCCACACCCACAAAAGTGTCATGTTCACATTCTTCATTGAAAAAGGGGAGGCCAAAGTGTTGGGCAAACTCCCGCTTGGTCAATGAACGGTTCTCATTCAATAAACGAAATGTGATTCTACTTTCAGCATGATCATCAAAATTTGCTATTTGCTTAAATGAACTAAATAATTCATACACCAAATGTGGGTAGGTAACATATTGTATCTCAAATATCCTAAGCATCCCAACGTTTGTGAAAATCTCACTCATAATCGCATCAAGCATGAATGACACTAGCGTAGTAATGCATATGAAACATGATTGGTTTACCTCCCGTTTGATTTGCCCTATGAAGCGCTTTTTGTGGATCTCGTTGTTAAATTTCACACTCTCAAAATCCGGAACGGGTGCAATAGCTTGGTTACCCCTTGAAGAAGATGCTTTGGACTTTTTAGGAGCCATGAAAGTAGATGTTTTTTTGGGATTTTTTCTTGGTATTTTCGGACTTGGGTGGGGTGGGATTTGGAACTTTGGATTTTTGGTGGGTTTTGGGTATTTTGGGGTTGTGAGAGTGGAGAGGATGATTATTAGGAAAAGAAATTGGGATTTCTTGGGATTTTTAGGGGAAAAATCGGAACTTTGGGGTATGGGGGCTTAGGGTTTTCGTATTTCTTTTGGGGATGGATTTGGGTAGGATTTTTGGGTAGAAAATGGAAGAGGGTGTTGAGGAGATGAAGAAAATGTGTTTAAGTGATAGATTTGGTGGTGAAATGGGGAGGAATCGAATGTTTGAGGTGCGAAAATGGAGGTTTTGAGAGTTGTGGTTCGTATGGGGGAGAGGGGAAATGGGGAAGAAGGTGGTTACCCGGCCTCTTTTGCTGTCAAAACCCGATGACCCGGACGGGTGGGGTAATATGACCCGGTCGGGCTTAACTCACAACTATCCAGAGAGTTTTTTGGGCAAAACGCCCGACCGGGTGGTGTAGTAGACCCGGTCGGGCCTAACTTTGGCTCTCCAGAAAGTTTTTAAGCAAAACGCCCAGCCGGGTATATGAAGGTGACCCGGTCAGGTGTTTTGATTTTTCCTCTGTTCCACAACTGCCTCTCCTGGGTGATTGGGCCGGGTGATGTGTTTTATGAAGGGACCCGACCGGGTTGGGTTTCATACCCGATCGGGTTCAATCCCTAGGTCATTTTTTTTGAAAGGGTTTTCTTACACACAAAATGAAAATGATCTAAATACAAACTTGGGTTGCCTCCCAAGAAGCGCTTGATTTAATGTCGCGGCACGACGTTATTTTTATTTTATTTTCTGTTTTAAGTGGGATTGTGAGCATCCCTTGTTTCATTTTCAAAGGCCATGTTTGGCCATATTTCAGCTTTCTTCTTCGACCTTTTCCAGTAAGGCCGAATTTTCTTCTTTGTCACCACCTGAAGTGTCGGTGGTTTTAACTCGCACTGAGGCGACTTTTTAAGTTCTTATCCTTTCAAAATAGATTTTTTTGGCTCATTTTTTATTTCATTAAAAATTGAAACTTTTTTAGTTTCTTCTCCAACAAAAATATTTAGTGTTGCTTGATGCACACTAAATAGTAGTGCATAATTATATGTTTTTATGTTTGATTTATGTTGATTGTTTGACGTTTTACTTAGTTTGTAAACATTTATGTGATTTTAGTTGTAATTGTATTTTAGTCTTTATTTATGAGTCGTAAAGTATAGTTAGGATTTGAGGTGTTGGAAAGGAAGACTTTGAAGTTAAGAAAAAGAAGATTTGGCTGTCCAGGAGCAAATACCCGACCGGGTACAACCCTTTACCCGGTCGGGAAAGAAGTGAAAATCGAACATGCAAATAAATTGCATTGGCCCGATCGGGCCCACTACCTCACCCGGTCGGGTGAGAAGTGACCGGAGACAATCCGGCGTGCAAAGATCACCAGAACGTGGAGAAATATCTGATTTTGACCGGACTCAGTCGGGTAGGCACTTGACCCGGTCGGGTACCCGGCCAAAGGTACGGTGTTGAATAACACCTATAAATAGCACACTTTTTTTTCCTCTAAAAATCATTCCTTCTTCTATACTCTTAAGCTCAGTTTAGAATAACATTTCTTTATATTTTTCTAGCTATGTTTAGTCTCCAAATGAGGAGCTAAACTTCCATTTCTTGGTGTTGCTCTTGAAGCTTGTTGATTATTAAATTTGTGAGTTATTTTTCTTAAACTTCTTCCCTCTATTAATTATTAGTTCTTTCCTTAATACTATCTCTATATTAATGTTGGGGAGTGTTGTTAAGATGACAATTAGCTAACATCTTGACATTAGTTATAGTAGTATTTTCTTCCTCTATATTAATGTTGGGGAATGTTGCTAAGATGACAATTAGTTAACATCTTGATATTAATTATAGTAGGATTCATCTTCTTTAATAATATTCTTCCTTGAATGTTAATTATTTCCTATTCATATTTCATATTAATATTTTGAACATTACTTAAAGGATTAACTAGTTTTATTTCATATATTAATTATTACTAGAATCGATCGACAAATACGCTTGTTAATCGTTGATGGTTTCACAAGTAAGTAACTTCGGTTTATTAATGCACGGTCATGGTTAATAAACTTAAGGGGGATTAATTTTATTGGTTAAACCGAAACCGTTGTGTTGAGGTTATCGATCTCAATTTATTTCATCAAGGAGTTAAGAGATTAAATGATACTATCAAGTCGGTATATGGCTCGTGTTCTATATTGACTAATAGTAAGGGTTATTAATGAACGGTCATTGTTAATAACTACCCTCAATGAATTGGATATACTCCTCGATTGAGTATTCGAGAGGGAATAAGTTATAGATAGAACAATGATCGACTAAAATTTATCAACAAGTGGAAAGTAGCAATGCCAAGTCCCTTTTATCTTTGAATTAAATCACATATAGGTTGTTCATCTTAGTTTTTAAATAAACTAAATCATCCAACAAAACCCCCCTATTATTTACTAGTTTCATAAAAAGAGAATTATTCTTTTCCTTGTGGATACGAACCTTACTTCACTATACTACGTATTAGTGTTATATTGATTAATTATTTTGAGTGCACCTCACGACAAAGTGAACGTTAAATTTGGCGCCGTTGTCGGGGAAAGGCAATTAATTTTTCTTTTTAGTTCAAGAAAAATAAAAAACAAATATACATATATAAAGATTTCTATTTTTCTGAGCTTTGTTTGAGTATATGGTAAAAACAAAATCCATAAACCAACTCACCTACCAAACAAATCCCGAAATAGAACAAACTCTCGAGCAGTTGAAAAACAAATTCTCAAATACCGACTCGGGAGAATCATCAAGTGCTAGTTCTCATTCTAGCGAGTCCGAAGAGCCAATAACTATGGCTTTTGAAACAAGAACATTGAGGGAGCTTACATCTCCTAATCTAAACCAACAACCCTTATGTATCACCTTCCCAACTCTTGATGCGGGTGCTACATTTGAGTTGAAATCCGGGCTCATACATCTACTTCCATCTTTCCACGGGCTACGAGGAGAGGATCCAAATAAACATCTCTCGGAGTTCCACATCATTTGCACAAGCATGTGCCCGAATAGTGTGACCGAGGAGCAAATCAAGTTAGGGCTTTTCCATTCTCCCTCAAAGACACCGCAAAGGACTGGCTATTCTACCTTCCTTCGTGAAGTATCAATACATGGGCTCAAATGAAAAAGAGCTTCCTTGACAGGTACTATCCCGCATCTATCTTTTCAAGTCTCAAGAAGCAAATCAGCAACATTGAGCAAGTAGATGATGAGACCTTGTACGAATATTGGGAGCGCTTTAAAAAATTATGTGCTAGTTGCCCATATCATGGGTATTCGGAACAAGATCTCATCCTCTACTTCTATGATGGTCTTGTTGATCAAGATAGACGCATGGTGAATGCGGCATGCGGAGGGGGTATTGTTAACAAAAACCCCTCTCAAGCAAAAGACCTCATTTCGGAGTTGGCCAAAAATTCGAGACATTACAACGGGAGGTCATCATCAAAACGAGTCATGGCAGCGGAATCCAATAACTCGTTGGAAAGTCAAGTGGCCGGCTTGACTTCTTTGGTAAAAGATTTCCTTTTAAATCCAAAACCTCAAGAAGTCAAGGTCTGCGGCATATGTTCAACACAGGGGCACCCCACTGATTCTTGCCCAACACTACAAGAAGAGAACTCCGAGCAAGTCAATGCTTTGGGGTTCCAATGTCAAAGGAGGTACGATCCTCAAGGCAAGACTTACAACCCGGGATGGAGGGATCATCCAAATTTAAGGTATGGAAATTCTCAACAACCTCAACAAACAAACCCTCCTCCTCAACAATATAAACAACAAGCCAAACATCGAACTCGAGTATGTCCACCGAAGACATGGTTCGAGCATTTGCCGTTAATATGGGAACAATGCTGCAAAACATGGGGCAATTCCAACAAACCATGATGCAATTCCAACATGAAACCAAGTCGAGCATTCAAAATTTGGAAACTCAAGTTAACCAAATTTCGAGTGCCGTAAGTCGACTCGAGGCAAAAGATTCGGGTAGGCTCCCTTCCCAAACTGAGCAAAACCCAAGACAACATGTTAATGCAATCATGTTGAGGAGCGGTAAAGAATTGCAACCGCGGGAAGTTGAGGAGGAGAAGCAAGAGGTTGATCTAGGAAAAGGCTTTCAACCGGAAGAGGATGAACCAACGAAAACTAAATTCCCTCCACTTTCATCATATGAACCACTCCCTCCATTCCCTGAGGCATTGAAAGACACAAGGAAGCTGAAGAATGATCGGGACATCTACGAGACCTTCGCCGATTTTGAAGTAAACATCCCACTCTTCAAACTAATCAAAAGTGTTCCCCGTTATGCAAAGTTTTAAAGGAACTATGCACGATGAAAAGGAAAAATAAACTGAAAGGGAAACAAAAGGTTGAGGTTAGTGAACGTGTCTCGGCCATTTTTCAAAAGAAACTTCCCAAAAAATGTAGCGACCCGGGCATGTTCACCATTCTTGCAAAATAGGGGACACCAATTTTTCTAAAGCCTTGTTGGATTTAGGAGCATCAATAAACGTTTATTAACCACAACCGTACATTAATAAACCAAAGTTACTTACTTGTGAAACCATCAACGATTAACCATCGGTTCGTTGATCATTTCTAGTAATAATTAATATATGAAACAAAACTAGTTGATCCTTTAGGTAATGTTCAAAATATTAATATGAAATATGAATAGGAATTAATTAATATTCAAGGAAGAATATTATTAAAGAAGATGAACCCTCCTATAATTAATGTCAAGATGTTAACTAATTGTCATCTTAGCAACACTCCCCAACATTAATATAGAGGAAGAAAATACTACTATAACAAATGTCAAGATGTTAACTAATTGTCATTTTAGCAACACTCCCCAACATTAATATAGAGAAAGTATTAATGAAAGAACTAATAATTAATATTCAAGGGAAGAAGTTAAGACAATAACTCACAACTTTAATAATCAACAAGCTGCAAGAGCAACACCAAGAAATGGAAGTTTAGCTCCTCATTTGGAGACTAAACATAGCTAGAAAAATATAAAGAAATGTTATTCTAAATTGAGCTTAAGAGTATGGAAGAAGGGGTGATTATTTGTGAAGGAAAAGTGTGCTTATTTATAGGTGTTTTTCAACACCTTAGGCCGGGTACCTGACCGGGTCAAGTGCCTACCCGTCCGGATCCGGTCAAAATCAGATATTCTTCACGTTCTGGTGATCTTCGGCACGTTCTGGTGTTCCGGGTCAAGTCTGACCCGACCGGGTGTCTTAGTTGACCCGACCGGGTCCGGTCAAATCAGATATTCTCCATGTTCTGGTGATCTTCGGCACGTTCTGGTGTTCCGGGTCAAGTCTGACCCGACCGGGTGGCTTAGTTGATCCGACCGGGTCCAGCTCTTTCCTCAGAGGTTCAGTTTTCAAATCAGACCCGACCGGGTTCAGGGTCTGACCCGGCCGGGTTTTGTGCTCCTGAGTATTTTTGTCTTCAGCTTTTTCTCCTTTTCCTTGCTAAAAACTCTATCACTATTCTACAACTATAAAGGGAGGCTAAAAACAATTACAAACAAAATAAAACAAAATGCTTACAAACTAACTAATAATGATAGAAAATCCACACAAAATCAATATAAAAACATACATTTATGCACTATAAACTAGTGCATATCACCTATTCCCGTGACTACGAGTCACGATCATCATAAAACTTCTAGTAAGTCATTACGCCATCATAGGGTTTTGCCCTAGTACTTTATTGCATTGTCATATTAGAGCTCCGCGCTATTACATTACCACACCATGCTAGAGCCCTGCTCTAGTCATCACTACACTGTGCTAGAGCCTCGTCTTTAGTCACCATTATGACACGCTAGAGCCCCGGTCTTAGTCATCATTACGACTCTTAGTCACCATTATTCAATCCCTAAGCAAGTTCCATGTCTAAAATCAAATTATCTTGAGTAGACATTAAGAGTTACCCCTAATATAACTTAGAGTTCATACATTTCCTAGTTGAAGTATCTCTTAGGATTACTTAAGACACAACTTCTCACAATCCAACCTTAGGATCAATTCTATCATAATTCATATTAACATCTCGGCTAGTATCTTAATACTAGTCGCATTAATCCTAGAAATATCAAGTTCCGAATTCACGGTCATAAAGCCAATTCAAACTGATTTTCCAATCAAAATGTAATTTATTCTCAATACACAAAATATTACTTTTATTCATTCACGTATTCTTTACATGATGTAAAAAGTATATTATTTTATAAGGTTTCATAGTTAATTCAACTATTATGTCATCATATTCATAATACATAGTCATACTCAATTTGTTCTAAATTTGTATATGATGCTCCATTTCTTTATAGATAATAATCTTCTCATTCTTAGGCATTATTAATCATTAATAATCCATAAAAACACATTTAAACATAATCTTATAAAATCAACCCACCAATTATAAGCAATATAGTCAGACATCCTCACCTTATGATGTGCTTAACTAGCTGCCTTTGTGAAGCTCTTCGGTTATCCCCCATTCTAGACCGATCAAACATGAACCAGATGGACAGAAGGCAAAAGTCGGGCGGCTTTTTCAAAAGGTGGGCGGCTT